TGATGATGAGTATAGCTACTCATCACGGGAGGACTCTCTTCAGTCATGAGAGCTAACCTCACAACCGGAAGGAATTCTTCCGGTTGATGAGTTCAATCTTCCTCATCAACCGGAAGGGATCCCTTCCGGTCAATGAGGGATATCTTCCTCATCGACCGGAAGGAATCCCTTCCAGATGAGGTTTAGCTTCCTCACTGACCAGAAGGGGTTCCTTCCGGTCAAGTGGGAGCAACTCCCAAACCCCCTCATACATGAGGGGTGGTTTGGGGAGTCGACTCCCAAAAAAAATAAAATGAAAATGAAATTGGGCGGACGACTCCCAGAATCCGCCCACACTTTAGAAGACGACTCCCAACGAACGTCCGCTGACGGTTGTTGGGAGTCGTTGGTGAAAAAACGGGAGTTGTTTTTCCGAGTCCCCCTATTCTAAAAATTTGTGTTGGTCTATTTACAAAACTCCATAGAATTAAAAATCAAATGAATGTGATTTGAAATGAATGTGCCTGGTTTAGAATGAATTTGAATTTATTTATAATATATGTTTGAAACACAGTTGAATTAGCTTGAATTAGCTACGGTTTCATCAGAAATGCTGGACTACTTGCTCCCAAAAACAATTCTGATGATGTTTATGGATTCTTAGATAGTATATGAGATAGAGATCCCCGACCCATAGAATGGTTTGGAAGTTGAACCCAAAATTGTCCCTTATTGAACTGGTAAGATACTGAGGCATTTGATATGGACATGTGGGTATTGTGGCGTGAAGTTTCAGCTGTCTTTGTGGGCGTTTCACTTAAGATTGTTATTATGATGAAGGTGTTGGAGCTACTCTACCTGTCTTGCTCATCACACTCACTCATCATACAATCATTACTTTTACGAAGGCTACATTTGCATTATTTAGGACTTGGGTGAGGTCCTGCCTGATGATATCCACATCCCTCCTTGAATTTTACACTATTTTTATCCTTTCTTATACCCTTGTCTATATCACTTGTAGCTCAAGAAAATTTATATCTAGTACTAACTAGTATTGTGGGATTTATATTATAAAGTCTATCTATCGTCATGGTCTTATTTCCTATTATTTACATGATAACAAGGGGGTCCGAATCCCAGTGCTTTGCAAACTTGATTACAGAAATTCTCTTTGAGGAAAGTCTTTATTCCATGATGTGAGTTATTACCATTGGACCAACGACTAAAAAAGCAAAAGATATAACCAATTATTAAGGGTTGTTTTGAGTGAGGTTCAGATCAACTCACAAGTCATCCTTATCAATAATTTGGGGATCAGTCAGAATTAATTGGGCCAACACCTTGCAAATCACAGATCAGGATATTCCCACCAGAATTAACATAAGACCAATGCATGAATGCATTCATCAGGTGGGCAATTTGGGCGTCCACACCCACTCGGTTCTCTGCCATATTGAAGTTAATGTTGCTCAAATATTTCACATAGGGTCCCACCAATGCTGCTTCCAAGAAGTATATCTTGCTTGGAATTTGATAGTCACCAATCACAACTACTCCATGCCGGACAATCTGAAAATGTATCACGTAGAGACGGGAAAGACAATCAGTGGATTTGTAAACACAATAGTAAGAGTATAACAAGCTGACCTGAAGTAACTCAGCTTTACGTAAATATCCTTCACCAATCCTGCGGCAAGTTGGCAAGACCTTTTTGAACTCATCCAAAAGAAGAGCACTTCCCTCATACATGAGAGCATCAGATGCGTGGTGCAAAAGAGTTGGATTCTTGTCATGATACCTTAATTTGGCAACATAATTAAAAATCTCCATCAATCCATCTGCTCCGGTTTCTTTCACCTCTGCTTTGAATGCCCTTCACATGCTTCCTTCACCAATTTTTTGGTCAAGGTGAACTTTGAGCGTGATTGAATTAACATTGGCATGAAGTGAGAAAAACTCTTTGCTTGAGAAGTTGTCAAAATCAGGTTTGTCACTTAGGGTTTTAAAGATCAAGCAATGTGCATTGACCCATCCCTTAGTATTGACAGAGATTATGGAGGGGATAGACCGGCCAAGATATCCTATTTGGGTAGATAGACTTGCTGGACCCCTGGCAGGGATGGTACCTGAGGAAACAATAAGTATTCTTAAAGTCTAGTGAAAATATCATTGATATAGAAGTGAGGTGCTTACCAGCAACGCCGTTGGAGGCCCATGCCGCATTTGGCTCACAAGGCAAACCCAATCGTTTAGGTTTAGGTTGGGTTGAAGGAGGCTTTTTTGCTGGAAGTGGAGTGGTACCATCAGAATCACTAGTTTCGAAGATTGAGGCATCTTTTTTAGTTTTGTGTCTCGCTGAGTGCAAGGACTTCAATCAATGGTAATTCAGAACCATTGGAAGTGGAGGAATCAGAATCGGAAGCTAATTTTCTGGCTTTTGCTTGTGCGGAGCGACTCTTTCTTGATGGTACATAATCGGTACTATCAGAATCATCATCATGAGATTTATGATCATTTCTATCTTGGCATGGATGTTGATAAGCCAAATCAATTTGGACCAGCTTTTTTTTGGTGTATTTGTGAATAACAAACACCAGGGATTCTAAATCAATGAGTTGACTATTCCCATGGAGAAGACTAATTTTGTCATGGGTGTCACGAAGAAGGCAATCCAGTGAGAGATTCTAAAGGATGCTGGGAGTGAACCTTTCCAAGAGTTGATTACATAGTTCTTCAAACAAATATGGATTATTTATATCTATGGTTTGTTTGATATTGAATAATAGGGGATCATTCCCAGGTTTCTTTCCTACATACAAAACCAATCCACATTCAATGGGCCGCCTGTTGGGTGATGGGGCAAACGGGGGTTGATAAGCGCAAGCCAACCCCCCTCGCGCACGCCATTGCAGAATGGCGTGCAGACAGGCAAGCCACTTGCCTGCAGGGGGTATACCCTGCAGGTTGGCGTGCCTGCCTGCACGCCAAATATATGCATATGTGTGGTCCTAAACGCATATTTATATGCGTTTAGGACC